CCAGCTGCAGGCTTGACAGCTCACTCGAGGCATGGACTTTGGAGTCAGATGGCAGAGGTTCCAATCCTAGCTCTGCAACCCTTGGGAAAGTAATTCAACCTCTCTGGGACTCACCCTCCCAGTGTTTGAAGTAGTGATAATCATAACAGGCTGCTGTCATCCATCTGAGAGCAGAGGCTGTTTTATCCACCAGTGTTTAGCCTACAGAAAGCAATGAGTAAATATTTATTGAATACATGCAAAGCACTTCCCAAGCCTGCAGTAAGTGGACAGTGTTATCTTCTTTATTTTCTGCCTCCCTCAATGCTGCCCACAGAAGAGCTTATTTTGGCCGTTATATCAGTCAGGATCCTGGAGGGAAACAGATGGTGTGTTCCAATTGAGGAGATCTTCATGAAGGAGTCATGTGCAGGGATGATTAAGAGAACACCCAGGGAGGGGATGGCAAGGCATCCCGGAAGTAGCCATAGTAGAAAGTGCCGACTCCCATAGATTTGAAGGATTAAGGGGAGGAGCTGCTACCAGACCCTGAGAGAGCCACAAGTGAGGAAAACAGCTCTGGAGAGTCTAAATCTTCAGTGAAGGAGTAGCATCAGGAGGGAGACAGGGGGATTAAAACCCACCCTTCTCCTCCCACCCTCTAATCTCTTCCTGGTGCCTCCCAGTGCTAAATCTAAGGTCCATTGATAAGGCCCATGCACATCAGTTTGCTTAGAAAGGTGGCTGGATTTGGTGGAGCCAATGGAGAAAGGCAAGGAACACTCAGCCACTAACTCTCCATAGGATTAACGACCATAGCCATCCTTCCTAATCTACACAGGTTCTGCCACAGAGTTACACTACAAAAGGCAAGATCTTCTCAAAAGAAAAAACAAATTGAGGTCAACAGGAGAGTATGAAATCTGAACTCCTGGGCCCAGCTGTTCCATGGAGTTGGCTCAACAGTTGAATCAGGTCCTGGCTGCCCTTCCTCATACTGTAACTTTCTGCATGTAAAATACAACAGTGAGTAGGCTAGCGCCGCGGCTCACTAGGCTAATCCTCCACCTTGCGGCGCCCACACACCGGGTTCTAGTCCCATTCGGGGCGCCGGATTCTGTCCCGGTAGCTCCTCTTCCAGGCCAGCTCTCTGCTGTGGCCCAGGAGTGCAGTGGAGGATGGCCCAAGTGCTTGGGCCCTGCACCCCATGGGAGACCAGGAGAAGCACCTGGCTCCTGCCTTCGGATCAGCGCGGTGCGCCGGCCGCAGCGGCCATTGGAGGGTGAACCAACGGCAAAAGGAAGACCTTTCTCTCTGTCTCTCTCTCTCACTGTCCACTCTGCCTGTCAAAAAATAAAAAAAATCCAAAAAAAAAAAAAACAACAGGAGGGTAAAAAAATTTTGGGGTGGTTTTTGAAAAAAGGAAAAAAGGGAACTCAGGCATAAAGGTTTACAGGTGAATATTTTTAAAATTATAGAGAGGTCATTTATAGACCATTTAAAAATGAATACTATTTCAAATCTACCCACATTTTCATATCATCTTTGTATTGCATATTAATATTTTTATGACAAGGCCTGAAGAAAACCTAGTTTACTTTTGAAGTGCTGGCGTATCTGTGGCAGGCGATGCAATTAGAAGACAGCTCTAGGCCGGCGCCGCGGCTCACTAGGCTAATCCTCCGCCTAGCGGCGCCGGCACACCGGGTTCTAGTCCCGGTCGGGGCGCCGGATTCTGTCCCGGTTGCCCCTCTTCCAGGCCAGCCCTCTGCTGTGGCCCGGGAGTGCAGTGGAGGATGGCCCAGGTGCTTGGGCCCTGCACCCCATGGGAGACCAGGAAAAGCACCTGGCTCCTGGCTCCTGCCATCGGATCAGCGCGGTGCGCCGGCCGCAGCGCGCCGGCCGTGGCGGCCATTGGAGGGTGAACCAGCGGCAAAGGAAGACCTTTCTCTCTGTCTCTCTCTCTCACTGTCCACTCTGCCTGTCAAAAAAAAAAAAAAAAAAAAAAAAAAAAAAGAAGACAGCTCTGCAGAGACACCCTGGCCTTCGAAGGCCAGCATTCACTTTTCCAACATCACGCATCTAGGCTTGGGTGGACTTCCTGCTAGCTCTCATCCAGTCCCACCGTTCAACAGCTGCCCAGAAGCCTAAGAGCCTCACTGGGAGTGGAAGCAAGAGCTGACATTGGCACACAGGCTAGCCCCCTTTGGGGACAGCTTCACCCATGAAGTATACACAAAGCTGCACACAGCAAGAGGCAGTGAAAGCCTCCTCACAGGGCGGCATGGTTAGCTCTTCATAAACCCCACTCAATCTCCTTCCCAGGCACGAAGGAAGTAAGTGGTGTGTGGAAATGGAAGCAGTGAAGGTAACAGGACATCCACGCATTGTGCAGCATTTACTTTGTCCCACAGACTACAGCACGTGCCTCACAGAGGCTACATATGCCCTTCTCTACCTTCCCACCAGCGTATGTTGTAGATTTTCTTTTATAGATGAGGGAAATAAAGGCAACTGATATTATGTTACTTTCCTAAGACGATAAAGCTGGTGAGGAAAAACTGGAATTGGACCTCAAGTAATATAACTCCAGTTTGTACTGTTAACCACTGGATGATTTTGCCTCTGATTATGATCCTTAACTATTCACAGAGGAGGGGAAAAATGGAAGAACATGCCCTTTTCAAGTGACCACAGCTTGCTTCCGAGAGTGAGAAAATGAGTGAATGTTTCTCTTTACTTACTACTTTTTACTCTTATACTGAGTTTATTTGTGAATTTCATAATGGAAAATATAAACATTGTGTCAAAAAGCCATTTGGAGAATCCAGTTCCATTATGGATGCATGAGATCCCTGTAGCCTATCCCTCCCCAGATGACAACTGCAAACTCAGTACAGACTGGAGGCCAAGGCTAGACCTTCAAAAAATAAAAATCTTTAAAAAAAATTCTCAACAACAACAACAAAAAAGAAAATACTGGGTAGGACACAAAGACAAATAGCTGTCTTATATATGGGGACTAAAATACTTTTAATTAAAAAACAAAAATGAAAAAAGAAATGCCTGTTTGCCTTGCTGCAAACACAGGGTTTTGTAAAATTTTGTTTTAAATCTCTGTCAAGCAAATTAATAGAAATTATATCCTACTATAGTTTTAACAATTAGTAATTTTTAAAATTTACTTTAAATGAGTTACATTCAACATCTTTTCATTTGAGTATTGCATATAGCTCTTGTTTATTTCCCTGATGAACTATGGTCTTTTTATTTTGTATTGGTATTACATTGCATTACTTTGAAGAATGTTTTTTTTTAAATGAATGAGGCAATTTATTAACCCAGAAGGATTTGTTCCAATGTTTCTTGTCAACAGCTGCCTGGCCAAACCACCCTGAATGCATCTAATCTCATATGTTGAACCCTTTACTTAGTGGAACATTAATCCTTTAGCTATAGCATAAATTTTAAAATGTCACCTCAAAAAATGATAAATAAGGCCAGCACCGCAGCTCACTTGGCTAATCCTACGCCTGTGGCGCCGGCACACCAGGTTCTAGTTCCAGTTGGGGCGCCGGATTCTGTCCTGGTTGCTCCTCTTCCAGGCCAGCTCTCTGCTGTGGCCTGGGAGGGCAGTGGAGGATGGCCCAAGTGCTTGGGCCCTGCACCCACATGGGAGACCAGGAAGAAGCACCTGGCTCCTGGCTTCGGATCAGCGCAGCGCGCCAGCCGTAGCAGCCATTTGGGGGATGAACCAACGGAAAGGAAGACCTTTCTCTCTGTCTCTGTCTCTCTCTCTCTTTCTCTCACTGCCTAACTCTTCCTGTCAAAAAAATTTAAAAGATAAATAAAAAATGATAAATAAAATATAAAGTTATTTAAAAAGTGCTGATGGTGAGAAAATATTCGACAAAGGACTTGTACCCAAAACATGCAAAGAACTTTGGTAACTCAATAATAAGAAAACAACCTACTTCCTTGAATGGACAAGAAAATTGAACAGACACTTGAATAAAAAGGCCCTATGGAGGGCCAAACACACACAGAAAGACGTGCAGCATCGTCAGGCATCAGGGAAATGGGATGCACACCCCAGGGCAGTATCACTCCAGACCCTCCGTGAGGGTTTTAATGTAAAAATCTGTGTGTACCTGGCGATAACAAGGATGCAGGGCATGTGGAATGTGCACTGCTGGCGAAAATATCACGCAATACCAATTGGGGGAAACAGCTTTGCAATTCCTTTAGAAACTAAACATAAATACCATGTGACCCAGCATTCCCCACCTAGATAAGTGAAAACATATGACCACATGAAGACTTGTACATGAATGTCCGTAGCGCCTTTATGTGTAATACCCCCAAACTAGCAACAACCCAAATATCCCTCAACAAGTAAGTAAGCAAACTGTGGTACAACTATACCATGGAATACAACTCAGCCACAAAATAGAGCAAACTACTGATACACACCACAGCATGGATGAATCTCCCAATCAGTATGCTGTGTTACAGAAGACCATCTCGCCTCAAAAACAAAGAGTATGTGTTACATGGTTCTACTTAAACAAAATTCTAGAAAAGGTAAATGTGGGGAGCAAACCGGACTAGACTGTTACTGGAATTAAGACTTATTCTATGCATCTGCTCTCCCACAATATGGCGCTGGGAGAGAAGTAAACAGCTTCCGCACAGCTGCCTCCAGTTCAACCAATTAACTGTAGGACTTGCTCCTGATTGGAGAGCAGCGTACTCGGCGTGTGGGCAGCCGAGTTGGGATTGGCGGAGGAGGACTATAAAGGAGGAGAGAAACGGCATGCACCGGGAACATCTATGGGGAACATCTAAGGGAACCCGTGCAGCCCCCCAGAGAGCCGGCCGGCGGTGTGCCGCTCCCCTGCGGAAGTGGGGAATGTGGCCAGGGGGAACTGCCCTTCCACGGAGGTGGAAGGGATAGTAGCCAACCCGGGAAGAACCAGCAGCCAACCCGGGGAGGGCCGAGCAGACGAAAGAACAGCGCAGGGTTCAGTGTTGCTCCTCCACGAAGAGGGGGAGCGACATAATGGTGCCGTGACTCGGATAGGAAACCTAGGACGGATAGAAAACTTAGGAGGGAAGAAACGTGACTCGGATAGGAAACCTAGGACGGATAAAAAACTTAGGAGGGAAGAAACGGGAAGAACTAGGGAAAATATCGGAGAGAGAAACTAGTAAACAGCCTAGGGAAATTACCGGAGAGAGAGACTAGCAAACAGCCTAGGGAAAAGCCGGACGAAAAAGGAGCCGGAAGAAGCTATCGAAAGCCTAGGCATAGACTCGGATACGGACTACGGGGGGAAGCTGGGAGAAATCTCTAAGGTCAAAAGCGAAAGTGAAAGCTAGAACAAACAGACTCGGACGCGGACTGTGGGGAGAGGCCAGGAGAAATGAGGGAGGAATATCGTTGGAGGAAAGCTTGGGGAAACATACCGGGTAGAGAAAAATGTTAGGGAAATTGAAGCCGCGGGGGGCAGGCCAAGGCGGAAACGAAAGCCACTTTGGGGTTCTCAAGTTAGCCCGGGAATAGGGGGCGAAAAGTTGAAACCAGAAGCTGAGACGCAAGCCAGGTTGGGATCCGTCTGATTAGCCCGGGGAGCAAAGGACGGGAAGCCAAACCGTGGGGCGGAGACGTACGCTGGGTTGAATTCGCCAGGCTAGCCCGGGGAACTTGGATTGAATGCTAGTGGTGGAGACGCAAGCTACGCTGTGTTACTCGCGGAAGCCGCCGCGTGCAGAGAGAGCACGGGGCGTGAATAGATAGGGAACGCTGGCGTAGGCCGTGGTTCAGACGCGAAAGGGTTAAGCGTGGAGACCGCGGAGCGCGCGAAGCCGAGCCGCGCAAAGCCGGGAAGCTGTGCAGATGAGAGAGGCGCGCGGGCTGAAGCGGCGAGGTGCCGGGAAGCTGCGGGGATAAGAGAAACAGAAGTTTGGAAGTGAAGTAAAAGAGAAATGGGAATGCTGGAAGATAGAAGTGAAATGGGAGAGGTAGGAATGCCCGGAGATAGAGAAATAGAGAAAAATAAGGCCTCCCCTCAACATGCCAATTAGAAGGCTTGGATTCGGTCTGCCCGATTAGTGAGGCGATGAGCACCTGGGCGGCTAGCCGCAGGTCACCGAAGACAGGCACGAATTAACATCAGTAAAGCTTCCCCACAATGCAACAATTAGGAGGCTTGGATTCGGTCTGCCTGATTTAAGGCGGTAAGCGCCAGCAAAGCTCGACCAGAGTATGCGCTGCAGGGCACCGAACACAGGCACGCATCAGCGCCTAAAAACCTCCTCACAATGGCGAAGAGAGGACCCGGATTCGGTTTGCCTGATAGGACTTGTAAGAGCCTGTGGCAACTCTAGCAAGTAGAGCAGAGTGTGTGCCGCGGGACACCGAAGACAGGCGCGTATCAACGCTAAAAAATAAAAAGAAAGGGGGATCTGTGGGGAGCAAACCGGACTAGACTGTTACTGGAATTAAGACTTATTCTATGCATCTGCTCTCCCACAATATGGCGCTGGGAGAGAAGTAAACAGCTTCCGCACAGCTGCCTCCAGTTCAACCAATTAACTGTAGGACTTGCTCCTGATTGGAGAGCAGCGTACTCGGCGTGTGGGCAGCCGAGTTGGGATTGGCGGAGGAGGACTATAAAGGAGGAGAGAAACGGCATGCACCGGGAACATCTATGGGGAACATCTAAGGGAACCCGTGCAGCCCCCCAGAGAGCCGGCCGGCGGTGTGCCGCTCCCCTGCGGAAGTGGGGAATGTGGCCAGGGGGAACTGCCCTTCCACGGAGGTGGAAGGGATAGTAGCCAACCCGGGAAGAACCAGCAGCCAACCCGGGGAGGGCCGAGCAGACGAAAGAACAGCGCAGGGTTCAGTGTTGCTCCTCCACGAAGAGGGGGAGCGACAGGTAAATAATAGGTAGTGGCAAACAATAGATCAGTGGTTGCCAGAGAATGAGGGTGGAGAAAGGGGTGCGTTACAAAAGGGCATGAGGGACTTCCGGAACTGTTGGAAATGCTTGCTCTTTTGATCGCAGCGATGGTTTCGTGAGCAAACATTTGACAAAGCCCTTCACACTGCACACGTGCACGCACACAGCCCGTTGTGCATCTGCAATGTCACTTGAAGCAGTCAGCAGCCCTGGCCTCAGCATTCACGCCCTGGCTTGCTCCTCCTCCTCAAGCAGAATCGGGGCTAACCAGATGGTTCTGATGCAACCGTCTAGGCAGCCCTCTTCTCTATATTTTTGCTCCAACTTCATCTTTCCTTGGTATAGGCCTTTTATGTTTTTTTCTAAAGTTTTTATTGCAATATAGTCACATGTATTCATTTTTAAAAAGAATTCATGTTTACACTCAGGAGGCAATAAAACAGGCACAAGAAAGAGAGGAACAATGCACAGTACAGGTAGTTCCATCTGCCATTTCCTTCCACGAGTCCGAGACGTGTAGCGTGTCTGTGCTTTCCCACCAGCAGCTTCCCTTGCTTATAAGTCCCTCATTTTAGGAGACTCTCATCATTTAAATCGAAATTCAAGTGTTTGTACAACAGAGACTCCAAACACAAACCAAGTGCTTCACCTTACGCTCAACTGAAGCAACAGTGACTTGTCCCAGGACTGGAAAATAAAAAAAAACTGCTCATTGCATTGGACTTACTAGGAGACAGAATATTTGTCTCTCACTCAGAATTTTAGTATTTGTAAAGATAATTTTGCCATCCTTTGTTTTCCTCATAGATACTGATTTTATAACCCATGTTAGACAAAACTTTCCTTTGTCTGTTTGCATTTTCAGAACAACCCCATGCAGCAACCAGAGCAAGTATTATTATTCACACTTGACAGAAGAGGAAGCAGAGCCTCATGAGATTGTGACTTGCTAATCACAGAGCTAATAAGGGACAGCCGCATTCCAAGAACCCAGATCTTGCAACCACAAAGCTAGTTTTCCTTGAACTATATCACCACTTCCACAGGTTGCCATGTTGCTTTTCCAACATAAGAATTATTTATAGCTGAGGTTTGCCCTGAGTCTCAGGAATTCTCAAGATAATGACAATTTCTTGTCACAAAGTGAGCAGAAGCTCCAAACGCCTGCTCATCATGCCTTGTTCCTTCTCAATATTGTCTTCCTTTGAATTAAAAAGAAGACCACGTTAAGCCAAATATGGCAGCCTTGTAACTTTTACCTCCCAGTTATAATCAAAGAATACTTTAAATGATAACCAACCTGCCATTAATCCAAGACTTTGGAAGAAGGACAGATACGGGAACAAGTTACAGTGCTAGTGTCCTACAGACTCTGAGGGCACCAGCTCCCAGAGTTTGCCCAGAAGCAAAGGCAAGGCTCTAGGACAGACCTTACCCCACCATGTACAAGGCACCCCCAGGCATCCTTACACATTTTTCTTGTTTATACATCCTAGCTGCAACCTTTTAAAAAAGGCTGGAAGATCTTAAGTACAACAGGAAATAGACTTTTTTAGGATCCTGGAGCATTTCTGAATGGGGATGTAGGGAGGTTAGATAAAATGATATAGAAAAATAACTGAAGTCCAAAATAAAACTGTCTCCAACCTATTTTTTTGCCATTAAAAATCATTTTGCAAAAGTGGCAAAAATGACACTCTAGCCACTGCTACAATGTCCATTGACAGGTTCTTGGCACCAAACCAATTAAGTCATAACAAGTATCATTGTCCCAAGATGACAACTAGGACAGAAACCGGTCTGTGTCTGACCACATGGGAGGCTAAGAGACCAGTTATCCCAGATAGGACATAAACTCTTACAAGAAGAGGCAACATGTCCTGAGAGAATTACACTTTCTATGGGGACATGTTTCCTGTCCCTAATGAGCTCTGATCCTATAAGAATACACATGAGGTTAGCATGGTAAATTCATACATAAAACATCACAAAGACGGTAACATCAATTCCTCTGGCTGAGCTTAAGAGTTGACCTAAGCTCCATTGCTTGGGAATACAAGGTCGATGCTCTCTGCTTCTCTCACTAAACTCATCTGCAATACAGAGAGAAGTTCCAAGAATGGGGGAGAATCAGGGTTCCTTCGTAGGTCAGAAATGCAATGAGTGACTTTTTAAGAGAGATACACAGCACAAAATGCCATCTCATTTAAATGCCACGTTCATTTAAACATGCCCTTTGGAGTGAGAAGGGAAGATCAGTCTCACATTATGATCCAGGTAATGCGGGTCCCTGTTTACAAAGTCTTGTCCAATAGGCACCAGTCTGAGACTTGACTTGTGGACTTAATCTGGCGGCACTGTTGTCTTTTCAAACCAAGTAATCGTTCTGCCTATACCTCCAATTTCCTCCCTGCTGGCTCAGTAGCAAGCCAGGACCATAACAAACAGGCAGCTAATGCTCTGCAGATGAAGGAATGTCAAGAAAATAAATAAAGTTGCTCTCTCCTGTTGCATTCCTTTCCTTAAGGGAAGAAAATAAAAGAGGAAGACTTAGAACTAAACAGAAATATTCCAACAACACTTGTCTCGCCAGCTCCTGCTGACAACCGCTGGCTCCAACAACTTGGGATCCTGAGGCCTGAGTTCAAGGTGACTTTTGTGCAATCCCAGCTCTTTGTAGAGCTGTCGGTGATTTTTTTTCCATTGTTTTCCAGTTTCCTGAAAGGAGCATGGTGTAAAAGCACTCATTCCCCTTGGCCAGGTGGGAGGAGCAGAGGGGAACACAGAGAAGTATTGTTTCTCTCTCAGCTGTGTTTTGAAAAATCAAAACACCTTCCCCAGGGCTTAGACTGTTTGATTTCTCACAGGGTGTTAGATTCAGAACCTCTGGGGATGTTCCTCCTAATAGTGGTGATGTGTACAAGGCCCTAGAAAGCGAAGACCCTAGAAGGGAACCAAAACCAAGGACTTTAAGTGAAATAGCAGAAGTAGTCCAAGGGCAATGTCATTTTGCCAAATGAGTCACACTCTCTAAGCCTGAAGCACTCAGTTGACAGATGGAGAAAGTGAGGCACAAATGAGTTTGACAGATGGAGAAAGTGAGGCACAAAAGTGCAAGGTGGTCCTTAAGCTGTGAATCGCACAGCTAAGACAAGGCTCCAAGACTTCCTTACAGCTACAGTACACTGTGGAGTATCCTGTCCCATGGACAAACTGAGGGAGTAATACTCTACCCAGGACTTCTCAGACTTCGAGAAGCAAATCAGTGATGATCTACTCCCATGATCCCTTTATAGTCATGTACTAAGGAATGGATTTTAATTCACTCTGGCACAGAGGGTGTATAAGAATGGGGCTCCTGGGAGTAAGTGAATCCCTCCCATCAAAAGCAGCTTACCTTTGCCAGGCTTCACTGTCTCCATTCATCTTCCACTGGTCAATCAGCTGGTAGGCGTGGCAGCTGGAGGCTCACCAGTGTTCAGGAGCGGCTGGGTCAAATACTTAAATTAGGCTTTAGGATACTGTAGTTGGTTTCTTGCTATGTCTGCATCTGAACTAGAATGATTTGCCACTTGGAGAGGATTGAAGCCAGGCAGGAGTATCTCTCTAGCACTTCCTCCCAGCCAACGAGCAGCACTTGGAATTCATATCCAGGTATCCTGTCACCATTGGGCAGGCGCGAGGAGCATTTTCTGCTTTTTTGGCTTTTTAAAGGTGTATTTATTTTATTTGAAAGGCAGAGCTACAGAGAGGCAGAGGCAGAGAGACAGAGACAAAGAGAGGTCTTCCATCCACTGGATCACTCCCCAGATGGCCACAACGGCCAGAGCTGCGCCTATCCAAAGCCAAGAGCCAGGAGCCTCTTCTGGGTCTCCCAAAGGGTGCAGGGGCCCAAAGACTTGAGCCAACTTCTACTGCTTTCCCAGGCCACAGCAGAGAGCTGTATTAGAAGTGGAACAGCTGGGACTGGAACTGGCACCCATATGGGATGCTGGCACTTCAGGCAGTGGCTTTACCCGCTACGTAACAGCACCGGCTTGTTTGTTTGTTTGTTTCTTTTGAAATATTTATTTATTTATTTATTTGAAAGTCAAGGTTACACAGGGAAAGAAGAAGAGTCAGAGAGAGAGAGAGAGAGAGAGAGAGAGGTCTTCCATCTGCTGGTTCACTCCCCAGTTGGCCACAACAGCTGGAGCTGCACCTATCCGAAACCAGCAGCCAGGAGCTTCTTCCGGGTCTCCCATGCGAGGGCAGGGGCCCAAGGGTTTGGACCATCTTCCACTGCTTTCCCAGGCCATAGCAGAGAGCTGGATTGGAAGTGGAGCAGCTGGGATTTGAATCTGTGCCCATATGGGATGCTGGCACTGCAGGTGGCAGCTTTATCCACTACACCACAACCCTCCTACCCCCTGGGCCCCTGTTCTTTCTCTAAGTCTCACCCCTCCTGTATCACAGGATCTTATAACATGAGGACATATTTGGCAGCGTTATCAAATAAAGAATGCAACAGGACTCCAGAATTGTGTTATGTGTGTGCATGTGTCTTCCTCCAATTTATATCTCTGATGTATTGAAGTAAAAAAGATTTTGATTTGTTTGTAAGTCGCATTTAAATTATGGAGGGGCTATTTATACGTTTCTGTGACCAATGACTGTATTTTTAAGTCCCTAAATGTCTATAACAAGAGACCAAAATACCTCAGAAATGTTGCTGCACTTGGAAAAATCACCATAGCATTGCCTCAGTGGTTGGAATTTGTCTCATAAGAAATCTCCTTGATTTGATGAAATGATTTCAGTGTGACTATCGCTGAAGTGGTGGAAAAAACTCATTTATAAGTTCTCTTCATGAGAGATACAAGTTTTGAAGGAACAGTATCTCAAGTTTTGAGTTTTTCAACAAAATACTTTATTTCTGTTCCAAAATCATTTAAATGGGTTCAATATTCAGTTCTATGTCTACTTTCAAGTCTTTTGAAAAGATATTTTTGGATCATGAGCCAGTGAATGTGACATCTAAATGTTAAGTCTGTAAGTCAGAAATGTTATTATCAGGGAGACTGGTATCCACTTTTTTAATGTATTTAATTAGCGCTGATTCATGTTTGGAAGCAAGAAATGAGCTTTCGGGGGTCAGCGCTGTAGAGTAGCAGGTAAAGCCACTGCCTGCAGTGCCGGCAGCCCAAATGGGCACCAGTTCAAGTCCCAGCTGCTCCATTTCCAATCCAGCTCTCTGCTATGGCCTGGGAAAGCAGTAGAAGATGGCCCAAGTCCCTGGACTTCTGTACACATTTGGGAGACCAGGAAGAAGCTCCTGGCTCCTGGCTTTGGATCAGCCCAGCCCCGGCGACCGTTGCAGCCATTTATGGAGTGAACCAGTGGATGGGAGACCTCCCTCTTTCTCTCTGCCTCTGCCTCTTTAAAACTCTGTTTTTCCAATAAACAAATAAATCTTGAAAAATAAAGAAATGAACTTTCCTGGGAGGGCATTGCAGCACAGTGAATTAAGCCACCATTTTCAACATGTACATCCCATATCGGAGCAACTGTTCAAGTACTAGCCATTCCACTTATAATCCACCTCCCTACTGATGTGCCTGGGAACCAACACATGATGGTTCAAGTATCTGAGCCCTGCCACCCACGTAGGAGACACTGATGGAATTCCTGGCTCCTGCCTTTGGCCTGGCCCAGCCCCGACTGTTGGGGCCATCTGGAGAGTGAATCAGCAGAGCGATCTCTGTCACTCTCTCTGTCCCTCTTCTTCTCCTTCTCTTTCTCACTCTCCTTTGAAATAATTAATCTTTTTTAAAAAATGAGCTTGCAATCTGAAATCAAAATACACAAACATTAGGGTTAGGGTTAGGGTTAGGGTTAGGGTTAGGGTTAGGGTTAGGGTTCCTCCCAGAATGTGCATGTCACACATTCTGTTACTTTTTTTTAAGACTTTTATTTATTTATTTGAGAGGGAGAGTTACAGAGAGAGGGAGAGACAGAGAGAGAGGTCTTCCATTTGCTGGTTCACTCCCCAAATGGCCACAATGGCCTGAGCTGTGCCGATCTGAAGCTAGGATCCAGGCGTTTCTTCCAAGTCTCCCACGTGGGTGCAGGGGCCCAAGGACTTGGACCATCTTCTACTGCTTTCCCAGGGTCACAGCAGAGATCTGGATCAGAAGTGGAGCAGTCAGGACTCGAACCAGCACCCATATGGGATGCCAGCGCTGCAGGCAGAGGCTTAGCATATTACGCACAGTGCCAGCCCTCTGCTGCTTTTTAAGTTAGTACCTATTCCTGTCTACTCTTTTGCATCATTGGAGACCACTGTTTCAACAATTGTAAGTACTGATTGTGTTCCACTATTTTCAGGACCTGTACTAGACTGGGAGGCAGAGATGAAAAGACAGAGTCCTGGGGGTCGCACAGGCAATCCAACAGCCTTCTGACTAGATAACTGCAGTGCAAGGCAGGCTGCACGTGAGAGGTGCAGGCAGACATCCTCCAAAGACAGAGAGGCACCAGGAAGGTTTCTGGAGGAAGCCTTGTGTCCTTGAAGAAAGGAGAGCCATAGCCAAGGGCAGAATAGCAGAGGAGGCAGTGGCTTGACAATCTGAACAAAGGCCCTGGTTGCAAGGCAGTGTAGATAGAGAAAACAAAACAGATCAGTTGAGCAGGATGAAAGAATGCATGAAGGACAGACTTAGGAGGTGAAGCCAAGGGAGTGAGTGAAGGCACTGGCTACAGAGGTCACAGTGGACCGTCTCCTTTCTTCCTCTTCCTCTTCTTTTCTTTTTGGCATGTTTGTTCGATTTTGTTTTTCAGTTAGACTTTACCTTCAGATCCCCACCGTTTGAAACTGATATGGTCAGCAACTGGGAAAAATAGAAGGGATTAGGGGTTGTGTAGCTGCTACTAATGAATAGGATAAGAATTCCAAAGTCTTAGTCACATGGTAAACCAGCAACACAACTCCCCAACAGGTATATAAAAGAAACAGTAATTTAATACTTTTCCTGACCACCTGAGTCAGATCTGATTCAAGTGTGTGTTTACTGACTTGGTCTGCTTTTTTAACTAGTCACTTAATTCTGAGCTTGAGAGAAAAACCTATTGGATTAAGATAGCTGCCTTTTTGGTGTGAAAATAGCTTACTTATATTCCTAGCACATTTGCTAAAGGCCCTACTATGTGTTGCATTCAATCAGCACCACCGTCTCCAAGGGTAGCTAGGGACAGAATCATTATTATCATACCCATTTTACAGTTGAGATGGTGGAGCTTCAGACAGATCAGTGACTTGTTCTAGGTCACCTAGTGTGATCCCTCTTGGGTCTCAGCCCTCCAGATCCATGAAGACTGTGCCAGGTCTTGAGGAACATCTCACCTTTTTCTCTCCATGTTTGTTAATATTTGCCTTTACTTTCTGTAAAATTTGGAGAGCTTTTTGATATTCCGCAGATTGCTTTTTAGACTGTAGCTACCCAAACGAAGAAAACTTTACACCTTACTCTGTATGGCTACCAACTGGTCAGAGCCATCCTTGAGTACCCTGAACATTATTTTCTAACCCTTTACAACACAGAATATAGGCACTGATATTCAGGTTTGACAGATATGAAATCAGGTTTATAGTAATAAAATGATTTGATGTAACAAGTTCACTTAGCTAGTGATTTTTAAAAATTTTTATTTATTTATTTATTTTCACTAGTAATTGACAGAATTCCAAATTCCTCAATTACAGGAGCAGAAAACTACCCACACGGAGGTAGGGAATGGTGAAGCAGTGATTCTCCAGGAAGGATTCCTGGCTCCAAAGTCACAGAAGAGTCCTGTTAGAACTTCAGATTCCTTGGGGCCTCTGCTATGGCATACCAGGTAAAGCCACTGCCTGTGGCATGTGGGCTCTGGTTCATGTCCTGGCTACTCCACTTCCAACCCAACTCCCTGCTAATGGCCTGGGAAAAAGCAGCAAAGAACAGCCCTAATGCTTGGGCCCCTGCACCCATATGGGAGACCTGGAAGAAGCTTCTGACTTAGGTCTGGCCCAGCAGCAGGCCATTGCAGCCATCTGGGGAGTAAACTAGTGGAGGTAAGATCTGTGTGTGTGTGTGTGTGTGTGTGTGTTTCCCTCTTTCTCTGTAACTCTGCCTTTCAAATAAATAAATCTTAAAAAAAAAAAAAAAAAAACTTTAGATTCCTGATGCAGAATGTCCAAAGCTAAAATACAGACCAGGGAATCTCACTTATATAGCCCCCTGACATCAAAAGCTGGGAAATGCTAGCAGGAGGTACAATCAAGGGATCGTATAGCTTGACCCAAAGAGCACTAAGCAAATGTATGGAAGGTGGGGGGAAGTGGGGTGAAGGTTAGGTTCCGGTGGTGGAGAACCCTGAACAAGGCTGGATTGGAGAAAACAGGTAAGAGACTTGCTTTGCTGTAGGAAAAAGATCGGTGATTTGAGAGGCTATTGACTTTCAGTCAACGAAC